GACAAACAAGCTGAGCTAACGTTAACGTTCAGCTCGCACCCCCTCTGGTATGTGCTGACCATTAATAACCTGTACCCAAACAAGCTCCCCCCTCCTTCACTCACACAAATTGTGTCTTTCTAACAGTGTTATCAGGCTTTCAAGTTCAACCTATTTGTCAAACTAACAGTGTTAATATTGGACAATCCTGCAAAACCCTGGATTATGTTCATAGCAGTATTTGTTTCAAAGCCAATGTTTTTAAATAAATTATTCCTATATTATTTGCGCAGCATGACCAGACTGAGTTAACAGAAGTGCCAGTACAAAAAGATTTGTAATTAAATGACTTCAATGTCCTAAAAATGACTCACTGATATTCTAAATGTTAAGGCATATCATTTATTGTCATCAGATTTACATCCATTTTCTTTGTCTAGTGTATGACAAGCAAGGGTTCCTCCTGAAGCTGGATGGTAGTCTGTGAGTATACATTTAACTTTTTTTTAAATTAGTCTTTTGGCTTGGGGGTTTGTTTGGTTAAGTTGCATGGACCAACACTGTAGAATTGTTCCTACCATTATTGCAGTAATATGTACTGTATAATGTATAATTTATCTGTGAATATTTAATCACTGCTCGACTCCATGTCTCCAGGCCTTTGGAGCTGGTGTACAAGTATGGGAATCTCAGTGAGGGAGCCTGTAAGCCTGGTTTTGCTGCTGCCAAGATGACTGCCATTTATCCAAAGTAAGAATACTTACCATATGTTTCTACACATTTGAAATATTCTCATAGACATGAAACATAATTGTCAGATACGTTGTGATCAGTGTGACCCTGACCCATGCAAATACATGATATCAGTAATGTAAGGCAAGGTTTCAAAATGAGAATATGGGTTGGTGCTATTATTGATATTCTGAAGTTCTGAATAACATTTATGAATACATTAGAGACTTTTTTTTAAAGCTATTTGGGTGAATTATTTGATTTTGTCTACCTTGTGAATTCCATGCCTTTACAGTTTTATGTTAGGTACCCACAAATTACACAATATGTTTGTAGGGCAACAAAGTTACTAACACTAATACTTTATTTTAAAATGCATTGACACGTCAGATGTAAAAGCACTAAATATACAAGAAAATATAAAAAAGTTGTCACTGAAAGGTGTTTTTATTTGGGGTTCAGTATCTTGCTCAAGAATACTTCGACATGTGGCAGGAGGAGCAGGGGATCGACCATACAACCTTCGATAGTGGACGACCCACTCTGCCTTTGGACCACAGCCGCAGTGGGACAGTGTTAAACACTATTGCCTCATAGGAAGAAAGTCCTGAACTCGCCAACCCACCAGGGGTCATCAGGGTCACTCTGTGGAATTTACATGTTTTTGCGTTGCCACCCCAAAAGTAAAACTGTTGGGTAGCATCCTATATAGTTTGGATGGCTAAAATGTAAATGACAAATATATCCAAAGGGATTAATCACATACTAATGTGTTGTGGAAGCACTTAGTGGATGGCATATAGGTTAACTGAACTAACTAAATGTTGTTATCTTGAGGGCAGACATAACCTGCACAAGCCTGTCTCAACATTGAGCTGTGCCTACAGTAGCATGCTAGTGTACCTATGGGTGATGCTACATTAGTTGTTTCCACTCTAATTTCCCCTCACAATGACACAATAAATTATTGTAAGATGTGTATGAGTTTTTATCCAGTCTGAAGCCTTGGTGCTGTTTACTCTACCGATTTTGAAACTGGATGCATTGGTATTTTTAGTCCACGGACGGCTGGATCTGAACCGTTATCGAAAACAGGCTGAGCAACGTAGAGCAGCTCTGCGTCCTTTGTCTGTCCAACAGAGTGGGAGAAACAGTGATTTTTAAGGTGGCGCTGCTTTTTAATCAGTGAGTTAGTTTGTTTTGGAGAAGAGGAGATCTCTGTGGATATTAGGGCTCCCAGTAGAAACCTCCTGAACCAT